AATTAAATAAAAATCAAAATATTGTTGCCGCCCTCCTCTGCGATTCTCATACCTAGTACCTAAGCGATGGCAAATCGAGATTTAAATTGTGAAATTTCTAATAAATTAAATAAAAATCAAAATATTGTTGCCGCCCTCCTCTGCGATTCTCATACCTAGTACCTAAGCGATGGCAAATCGAGATTTAAATTGTGAAATTTCTAATAAATTAAATTAAATAAAAATCAAAATATTGCTGTCGCCTTCCTCTACGATTCTCATACCAAGTACCTAAGCGATGACAAACCGAGATTTAAATTGTGAAATTTCTGATAAATTAAATTAAATAAAAATCAAAATATTGCTGTCGCCTTCCTCTACGATTCTCATACCAAGTACCTAAGCGATGACAAACCGAGATTTAAATTGTCAAATTTCTAATAAATTAAATTAAATAAAAATCAAAATATTGCTGTCGCCCTTCTCTGCGGTTCTCATACCTAGTACCTAAGTGATGGCAAATCGAGATTTAAATTGTGAAATTTCTAATATATTAAATTAAATAAAAATCAAAATATTGCTGTCGCCCTCCTCTGCAATTCTCATACCTAGTACCTAAGCGATGGCAAATCGAGATTTAAATTGTGAAATTTCTAATAAATTAAATTAAATAAAAATCAAAATCAAAATATTGCTGTCGCCCTCCTCTGCAATTCTCATACCTAGTACCTAAGTGATGGCAAATCGAGATTTAAATTGTGAAATTTCTGATCAATTAAATAAAAATCAAAATATTGCTGTCGCCCTCCTCTGCGATTCTCATACCTAGTACCTAAGTGATGGCAAATCGAGATTTAAATTGTGAAATTTCTAATAAATTAAATTAAATAAAAATCAAAATCAAAATATTGCTGTCGCCCTCCTCTGCAATTCTCATACCTAGTACCTAAGTGATGGCAAATCGAGATTTAAATTGTGAAATTTCTAATAAATTAAATAAAAATCAAAATATTGCTGTCGCCCTCCTCTGCAATTCTCATACCTAGTACCTAAGTGATGGCAAATCGAGATTTAAATTGTGAAATTTCTGATCAATTAAATAAAAATCAAAATATTGCTGTCGCCCTCCTCTGCGATTCTCATACCTAGTACCTAAGTGATGGCAAACCGAGATTTAAATTGTGAAATTTCTAATAAATTAAATTAAATAAAAATCAAAATATTGCTGTCGCCCTCCTCTGCAATTCTCATACCTAGTACCTAAGTGATGGCAAATCGAGATTTAAATTGTGAAATTTCTGATCAATTAAATAAAAATCAAAATATTGCTGTCGCCCTCCTCTGCGATTCTCATACCTAGTACCTAAGTGATGGCAAACCGAGATTTAAATTGTGAAATTTCTAATAAATTAAATTAAATAAAAATCAAAATATTGCTGTCCCCTTCCTCTACGATTCTCATACCAAGTACCTAAGCGATGACAAACCGAGATTTAAATTGTGAAATTTCTAATATATTAAATTAAATAAAAATCAAAATATTGCTGTCGCCCTCCTCTGCAATTCTCATACCTAGTACCTAAGCGATGGCAAATCGAGATTTAAATTGTGAAATTTCTAATAAATTAAATTAAATAAAAATCAAAATATTGCTGTCGCCCTCCTCTGCAATTCTCATACCTAGTACCTAAGTGATGGCAAATCGAGATTTAAATTGTGAAATTTCTGATCAATTAAATAAAAATCAAAATATTGCTGTCGCCCTCCTCTGCGATTCTCATACCTAGTACCTAAGTGATGGCAAACCGAGATTTAAATTGTGAAATTTCTAATAAATTAAATTAAATAAAAATCAAAATATTGCTGTCGCCTTCCTCTACGATTCTCATACCAAGTACCTAAGTGATGGCAAATCGAGATTTAAATTGTGAAATTTCTAATAAATTAAATAAAAATCAAAATATTGCTTTCGCCCTCCTCTGCGATTCTCATACCTAGTACCTAAGTGATGGCAAACCGAGATTTAAATTGTGAAATTTCTAATAAATTAAATTAAATAAAAATCAAAATATTGCTGTCGCCCTCCTCTGCGATTCTCATACCAAGTACCTAAGCGATGGCAAATCGAGATTTAAATTGTGAAATTTCTAATAAATTAAATTAAATAAAAATCAAAATCAAAATATTGCTGTCGCCCTCCTCTGCAATTCTCATACCTAGTACCTAAGTGATGGCAAATCGAGATTTAAATTGTGAAATTTCTGATCAATTAAATAAAAATCAAAATATTGCTGTCGCCCTCCTCTGCGATTCTCATACCTAGTACCTAAGTGATGGCAAACCGAGATTTAAATTGTGAAATTTCTAATAAATTAAATTAAATAAAAATCAAAATATTGCTGTCGCCTTCCTCTACGATTCTCATACCAAGTACCTAAGCGATGACAAACCGAGATTTTAATTGTGAAATTTCTAATAAATTAAATTAAATAAAAATCAAAATATTGCTGTCGCCTTCCTCTACGATTCTCATACCAAGTACCTAAGCGATGACAAACCGAGATTTAAATTGTGAAATTTCTAATAAATTAAATTAAATAAAAATCAAAATATTGCTGTCGCCTTCCTCCACGATTCTCATACCAAAAACCTAAGCGATGACAAACCGAGATTTAAATTGTGAAATTTCTAATAAATTAAATTAAATAAAAATCAAAATATTGCTGTCGCCTTCCTCTACGATTCTCATACCAAGTACCTAAGCGATGACAAACCGAGATTTTAATTGTGAAAGTTCTAATAAATTAAATTAAATAAAACTCAAAATATTGCTGTCGCCCTCCTCTGCGATTCTCATACCAAGTACCTAAGCGTTGGCAAAGCGAGAATTAAATTGTGAATTTTCTGATCAATTAAAAAATAATATTGTGGACTTAAATTGTGAAATTCGTGATAAATTAAATAAAAATATTATGGCCGCCCTCCTCTGCGATTCTCATACCAAGTACCTAAGCACTGGCAAATCGAGAATTAAATTGTGAATTTTCTGATAAATTAAAAAATATTATTGTGGACTTAAATTGTGAAATTTCTGATAAATTAAATAAAAATATTATGACCTCCCACCTCTGTGATTCTCAAACCAAGTACCTAAGCACTGGCAAATCGAGAATTAAATTGTGAATTTTCTGATAAATTAAAAAATATTATTGTGGACTTAAATTGTGAAATTTCTGATAAATTAAATAAAAATATTATGACCTCCCACCTCTGCGATTCTCAAACCAAGTACCTAAGCACTGGCAAATCGAGAATTAAATTGTGCATTTTCTGATAAATTAAAAAATAATATTGTGGACTTAAATTGTGAAATTTCTGATAAATTAAATAAAAATATTATGACCTCCCACCTCTGCGATTCTCAAACCAAGTACCTAAGCACTGGCAAATCGAGAATTAAATTGTGCATTTTCTGATAAATTAAAAAATAATATTGTGGACTTAAATTGTGAAATTTCTGATAAATTAAATAAAAATATTATGACCGCCCTCCTCTGCGATTCTCAAACCAAGTACCTAAGCGTTGGCAAAGCGAGAATTAAATTGTGAATTTTCTGATCAATTAAAAAATAATATTGTGCACTTAAATTGTGAAATTTGTGATAAATTAAATAAAAATATTATGGCCGCCCTCCTCTGCGATTCTCATACCAAGTACCTAAGCGTTGGCGAAGCGAGAATTAAATTGTGAATTTTCTGATAAATTAAAAAATAATATTGTGGATTTAAATTGTGAAATTTGTGATAAATTAAATAAAAATATTATGGCCGCCCTCCTCTGCGATTCTCATACCAAGTACAAATCGAGATTTAAATTGTGAATTTCTGATAAATTAAATTAAATAAAAATTAAAATATTGTTGCCGCCCTCCTCTGCGATTCTCATACCAAGTACCTAAGCGATGACAAATCGAGATTTAAATTGTGAATTTCTGATAAATTAAATTAAATACAAATTAAAATATTGTTGCCGCTCTCCTCTGCGAATCTCATACCAAGTACCTAAGCGATGACAAATCGAGATTTAAATTGTGAAATTTCTAATAAATTAAATTAAATAAAAATCAAAATATTACTGTCGCCCTCCTCTGCGATTCTCATACCAAGTACCTAAGTGATGGCAAATCGAGATTTAAATTGTGACATTTCTGATAAATTAAATTAAATAAAAATCTAAATATTGCTGTCGCCCTCCTCTGCGATTCTCATACCAAGTACCTAAGCGATGACAAATCGAGATTTAAATTGTGACATTTCTGATAAATTAAATAAAAATTAAAATATTGTTGCCGCCCTCCTCTGCGATTCTCATACCAAACCTAAGTGATGACAAATCGAGATTTAAATTGCCAAATTTATGACAAATTAAAGTTATAAAATATCTGATAAATTACACATATTTCGGTCTTTTTTTAAACGGTTTTGATTTATTTTATATGTGATATATCAAAAGATCTTGAATACTTGTTCTTAGAAATTCCTTGTTTTTTCACTAATTTTAATAAGTCTTAGAACCATCACCTACTTTTGCCTCTTTTACATTTTTTTTTCTGGAACCAATCTATCTTGTAAAATTAGAATTAGGTGTTTATTTAGATCAAGAATTGGTTTATAGTCGCTAATAAGTACGTCTTTCAAATAAAACACAAACAGATTTTGTTTGTAATCGATATATTTGTAATATATATTTAATTTGATTTAAATTACAACTAGTGTTTATAAATATTTATGCTATACAATAATAGTTGGTATGTATATAGTATCTGTAATATGGTTACACCAAACGGCCCACAACATATGCCGAGCTCAAAAACGGAAATCAAAATACCAGCGATTATAAATTCACACTTTAAAGCCGTACAAAGAGTGCGCACACACAGCTAACAACATAAATGTGTATGGCTAAACTATATATTCATATATGTTTAATATATATATGTATGTATTAAAAAACAACCACATTTTGTTTAACCCACAAAGGTTCTACATAAATCGCATGTAATGTAATATAAATGTAATAAAAATACATAAGACTCTGCTCACAAAGGCCAACGTGGGGGAAATAAATCAAAACGACATAACAAAATAGCAACATATAGTATATGGTTAGATGAGGGCTGCAGGGAGTGCGAAGTGGCTTGCAAAAGCTTGCAACTACATTTTAGACTTAACTAACAATAATATGATGATGAACATGACCAACAGATGGGCGAGTCCTTTTCATTTTATGGAACGCTGACGATTTACAGTTGTCTGAGAGATGTTAGGACGTCAGGAGAGAGGAGGCGGGTTGATAGCCACACGCGAGTCTCGACTATTTAACACTCGCATTGACGTTCACGTTCATAATATTAAATACTGGACCGATGCGCATAAATACACGTCTAAGGACACTTCTCAGTTCGAGCTTCAGATCGAAGCACATCATCTCGCAGAGCAGATTATAATAGCTGGATACGTGCGTTGCAAACTGCAACAAAACAATAGAGAAAAAAATATTATTAGAAAATATTTTAAAAACTTGGAAACATATAATTTATTATATTCTTACTATAATCTCACTTACCCGTGCATCGGACATTTTGAGCAGTCGCGTCAGTATTAAGAGCAGCAACGAGGTCCAGGCATCGCGATGCGCCTCACTCTGCATGCTCAGGAAATATGCCAACGCCTCTTTGCAGACCTGCACCAATTCCTTCTCAATGCCTGGCCAGTCGCTACGCCGGTTCTCATCACCGTACATTTTGAAGAAGATGCGCAGCACACAGGCCAAGGAAGCCGTCTCCTGCTTGAGGAGATTGGGCTTAACGGAGCCCTTGAAGCCGGCACGCCACAATACGTTTCGCTGCTCCTGGTCGGCATTGAAGCGCTTGGCAAAGCGATGGGATTGCATGAGGCAGTCGGCCAGGGTAAAGAGTTGCCTTGTCCGCAGATAGCCATACATGCCCTGCTCCTCGCGTTGGCAGTCCAGCATTTGGGACTGCGAGGAGCCGCGACTGCCCGTCAAATCAGCAGCTGCCTGCGCAAGCGTCTCTGCATCCTCCTTGCGCGAAGTGGCCGGAAAGAAGACAATATTGTCCATCGTCTGTATGAGCTCCAGTTGGACCACACACTTGATTTGCAATGCCTCGAAGTGGGCGTGGTGGGGCGGTGCCAACGCCAGTTGAGTGGACTCTGACACATTGGAATGTTGGGAGGCGGAAGCACGTCGGGAGTGTTGCAACTGACCCTGAGATAGCTGGTGTTGCTGCAGAGCCTCCTGCTGTGCCTGGTGCTGCTCGTTCTTGCTAGGCCGCCAGGTGAGCAGCTCCTTTGGCAGCGTGGCATTGAATATGTCGAGTATGCACTGACAGGTTTTGTCCCACGTTACCTCATTGAACTTGAAGCCATTTGAGATAACCAGATTCTCCAGACAATTGGTGCCGGAGCGGGCCAGCTGCTCGTTGCTCTGTTGCACGCACCAATGAAGCTGAGCGAACAACTCCTCCAGCAGTAAATGGCCGAGCACATCAAAGTACTGCGTGAAGACGTCAATGATGGCGTACAGCGCGTGATTGCAGGTCGTAGTCATCCATTCGGACTTCTCGGTGAGATGCTCCGGCAGCTTCATATTGTCGAATATGCGAAAGATCACATTGAATAGATCCTTCCACCAGTTGGGTTTGAAGCTATCGCCGTGAGTCTTTACAATCTCGAACAGCACTGTAAGGCCACGGGTCCGCACGTCCAGCTTGCAGCGATTGACGACGCAGGACAACGAGAAGAGCATGGGGAACCACCCACGCACCCAAACACGATCCTCCTCCGCTACTGAAGCATCGTTCTCCATGCCCGCATGCTCCGCGAACAGCTGCGGACTGTCGTGTACGCATTGTGCACAATTCCGCACTAGACGTATGGCCTCCATGCTGGTGTCCGGAAACCGCGCATTGCAGGCGAACTCCGACAGGCATTTAACAGCATCCTGAAAAGAATCGACCATCACAGCAAACTGGCGACGATAAAGTTCACCAATGATTTTTCCTGTGGTCTGAAAGGCCAGTTCCACAATCGGCTCCTCATGATCGCCAGCAGCCAAATGGAAAATGGAGAATATATTCTTCCATCCAGAGCGTATATTGTGCGCCTGGGAATTGACCATTTGGGCAATACACCGCACCACCATGTCCCTAATGGCGGGTGAGTCGTTCTTCTTCATGATATGCTCGAAGGGACGCAGAAAGTCCTTTTGAAAGCGGAAATTGCTGAACTCTCCCTTCTCCATAAACTTCATCGACAGCTGACGCAACGAGTCCAAAGCAAAGAACGCAATTTCCTCATTGTTGTTGCAGCCCACAGTATTAAAATGTTCTCCCAGCACTTGCCAAATGCGGGACCATTGCAAGCGTATACGCTCCATGTTGTAGTAACTAATCTCGACGATTTTCTGCAACGAAAACATGCGCGGTTGCGGCTGCTGGAGCTCATCCACTGACACCTGACACAGAGCCTTGACGAAATCGACAATGGCATCACCATCCAGACGCATGGAGCCTGTGAAGATGCGATCAACAGCGACCACAACACTCTGACTGCTCGTCTCCCCAATGTGTTCTTTGGCGCTGGGATTCAGTGAGTCCTTGAGCGTGGTCTGGGCACCCGAAAGAAATTGCGGACGCACACCAGTGCCAATCAGCTGCGCCAACTCCAGTTGACTAATGCATTTGACAATGTCTAGCCAGCTGGTGCCCAAATAGTTGCCATCGGTATGTGCAACCATAATGAGTGTCTTGATCGTATCAATGTTCTTCGGCTTCATTTCATTTATGGGGGAATTGGCATTGAGGAGCGTAAAACGCGCCAATGCCTGCACATAAGCATCGCGTTCGAGTGACATGTGAAAGATGCAGGCAATGCGTATGGCACAGCGAATGCCATCTAGACAGAGCGTTGCAATTTCGGGGTCATCGCACACTTGCAGCCCTACGGAGAAGGCAGCCAGAAAGGGTGTCCAAGCTATTTTGAACATCGGCCTCACATGCTCCAAATGCTTGGCCGATGTGAAGGGGGACTTCACATGCGACACCGATTGCATTAAATTAGTGGCCGTCGTCGAGATGGTCTCCATTTCCAGATTCCACAGCAGCTTTCTGCGTTTCTCGGTAATGAACGGCTGCTTGCCTGCCGGCTTGGCTACCACCACAGTGGTATTGTTTTTCATTTTAATTTCGTGCTCGGCTATTTCATCATAAATGGACGACAAGTACTCCTCAGGCAGATCATCTTTGCTGTCGCTGATGCCGCGATTCATTTTTATATATTGCTCTTTGGTCATTTTATGCTTCACCTGTGGCGAATGCAGATCAGTGGTCAGCATAATAATGCTGAACGCCAGCACGTAAACGGTATCTGCACTTTGGAACAACTGATTCTGCGGATTGCATTCACAATATCGACTGGCGAATTTCTCCATCAGACGATCGATCTTCTGCGCCTCGCCCGGCAAACGAAACTCCTCAAGTAAAATGCGTAAGGCGGCCACAACTTCCAGTTGACGAAAGTCAAAGATGTCAATGTACGTGCACATTACCTCCTTAGAGTGATCGTCATTCTCGCCCAAGTAATTGCCAATTACTGTCTTGTCCAGACGCTCGTCTTCGTGCAGCCACTTGGCAATGTCCTGGCAGCTGGGTCCTAGCAGCTGTTTCTCCTGCAGAAATTGCACTCCCTTCTTCGGTTTGCGGTTGAAGAGCTCAATGCCTGTTTCCATCACCTCTTTGCGCATTTTACGCTCCTCCAGTGCCTCCGGCAGATCCAGTACCTCATTGTTCTTCACACTCCCATAAGAGTTAAGGCTGTGACTAGAGCCGCCGTGCGTAGAGCGCAAGCTCGAGTTGTGCGCCGACAAATTGTCCACATTATCAGCAGGCGGCGGGTCCGTAGGCGATGTTATCACTTGTGCCGGCGTCGGCATATTGGGGTTCACATACAAATCCTTGCTCCATTCTACCATACACTTGAGAATGGACACAAGACACTCCAGACCGCGTATTCGCATCGATTTTTCCTGCATGGGATTCGCGCCTAGCTCTAAGGCCTGCCTGCCTTGCGCAATTTTCGACAAATCATTGACCAGACGCTCGAAGAGGTTCGCGGCCGAAAAATCACAATCATAATTAACATAAATATCCACCACAGATTGGGCATCGGCACAGATGCGCGTCAGCGCCTGTATGACCATCCACTTGTGTTCAAAGCTGCTCGAGCTGGCCTCCAGTATGTTTAGGAAGATCTCCTTGAAGAACACCTCAATTTGACGCTTCAAGTGCACCTTGAAGTTAGACAACAGTGCCACAAATATGGACAGTGACAGCTCAAACACTTCCGGCACTAGACTCACGCCATTATTGGACAATGCCACGCACAAATATTGTTTAATGGCCATGATGAACATCTCATTTGAGCGAAAAACAGGCCCAGCATTCTGCAATATGAGCAGAAGCAAGTGCAGTGACAGCACCTTGGAGCGCAACTCATGCGATTTGGGATCGGGATGCCCCTCGGGTAGCGGCTTCATAGACAGCTTGCACAGCGCGCGAAACACAAGAAATGCATCCTTTTGTAGAATATGCGTGAATTTTGCTGTCACGACGGAATCATTCTCGCTGTGCAGCTCCACGCTGTCAGGATCAGAGTTTGATGATTCGGTAAACGGATTGCCATTGCTATGGGCATTTGGATTTCCATTGGTTGCATCCGCTGGCGATTCAGAATCGGACAGATCTTTCATCGCTTCGTTATAGGCAGCTTAAAATGAGGATAGCTTAGTGTGAAGCACACATAATGAGACATTTGCTCACCTGTTATGATCTCTGCCAGCAGCTCTGAGGCAATAACTTCATCACTATCCGCTGGCGGTGATGGAGGCTCCTCGCCACCATTTCCATTGCTACATTCTGAGCTGATGCTACCATTCAATGCCGTCCCCGTCGTTCCCGCTGTGCTCTCTACCTGCGTTGCCGGCACAGCCACCTCATAGACTTGGTTCTCCATGCGTGCAAAGATCACATTTAGCATTTGAGTCAGCGTCGCACGCGCCGTCGTCTGATTCACCAGATTCTTGCTGCTCAAATAAATGTCATAGCAAGTTCGAACTGCCTGCAGAAGCGTAAACTCATGTATTTCCACATGCTGCGATGTGACGACAGTAAGCAGAGCTTTTATTATCTGCAGCTGCACACCCTCGTCCGTTTGTGGGCCATTAAAACAGCCGTATATGGTGATAACAATGCGGTCAATGAGCAAATGCCCCGGATTGGCCGAGTCCTGTATAGCGCCTGTCAAATGACCGTAGGCTATCAGCTTTTGCAGACAATCCAAAGCAGTGACAACAATGCGTGGCGAACGACTTTTACAGGCCAACTCAAATGGCAGGAAATACGTTTCCGCATTTATAATGCTAGCCGCATCGTTTTTGGGCAACGGCAGGGCGGCGCATGGCAACTCATTGCCCTCCGCTATCTGGCCAGCACTAATGAGCTCTGCTTTAATTTGTTCGAGTGCTGTGTCGCATGATTTCTTCAGCTGCGAGTGATGTGATCGCTTTATGTCCTTATCCGCAAGGATTTTCTCTAGAGCACGCACAATAAACATTTCCTTGGTTTTCGTAGAGTTGCTTTGCATATTGTTTGCAACAACAACAATAACACCAAGGTCGCACCGTGTCGGTCGCTCTTTCACTGGTAAGTTTTGTAATTGCAATATAAATAGACCAAAGAAACGATAGCTTCAACTTTCGCTGCTGTTACGTTTGTTTCCCCCGCTTGACAGCTGGACGCTAATGTAGATGTGGATTGTGCGTTATTTAATTGTTTTATGCGTTTGCATATTGCAAGTGAATATACCACACAGATATTCGCGAGAAATATGCTTAAAATTGTTATGTGCGGCGCGGCAGTATTGGGAAACCACAAATGTCGTCGGACAAAAGGAGTGGCAACTCGCGCGATTGGCAGCTGGAGCGGGCCGATAACAAGTACTCGTGCGTGAGGGGTGAGGACCAGTGCTACCAATTAGGAGGGTTGCAAAGTGGGTAAAATAGCAATTCCGGGGGAATGGCAAGTCGTGGCCTTAGGGAAGAAAAAAAATCAATTGTGGACAGTGAGCGAGAGACACGTGCTATTGCGGGAAAAAACAAAAAAAGAGACAAAATAAGCGGAAGACAATATTCAAACACCGGAGTGACGACAGGAGGGTTGGGATATACACCAGCGAGGCTTCATAGGCAGAGGAGTAGCAGTAACTGCGGGCGTTCTGGGAAGTGCGCTGTGCGCGGGTCAGCACCGACCGGCAGTACTGGGTCTTAGGCCGGACCTCGGCCCTAGCGGAAGTCAGGCCAATTTCCATGCAACTGGAAGTCTGGGCTAAGTACCCTTCAACATTAAAATACTAAATATTCACACACATTCCGCTCAAACATAGAACCAAAATTTTATATACACCCTACATACATATACATAGCCATCTCACATACACCAGTGCAGCATATAACACAAAATTCAACTAAATACTCACACATATTCCGCTCAAACATAGAACACAAAATTTTATATACACCACACACTCCTTTATATACACTCCATACATGTTCACATACACCATATTCAAACACACACCGAATTTCCATAGCACTCAGACTCACATTCATCCCATAGCCACATAATGTAAAATACAAAACAAAAAAACAACACACAAAACAATTAACAATTTTCTGTTACACACATAGCCCAAACCATTCACAACATAATATAAAACATTAAACAGAAACACAACACCCAAACATTTAACCATATTGTAATACACACACGCCCATAGCCACATAATGTAAAATACAAAACAAAAAAACAACACACAAAACAATTAACAATTTTCTGTTACACACATAGCCCAAACCATTCACAACATAATATAAAACATTAAACAGAAACACAACACCAAACAAGTAACCATATTGTAAACAAAAATTCAAATGTATACTTAAGAAAAAAGAACATAAAAAAAAAAGAAAAGTAAAAGAAAATGTATAAAGTCTAATATAAGCAAAAGAGGTTGGAATGTGTATTGGAGCGGCGCAGTTTTTTTTTTTTGTTTATCTCCTTGTCATTACATATCATTACACCCCTCATAACCACATACTCGAGTATAGGTAGGTTAGGAGGTTCGAAAATCGAATAAGATAAATAGGCACAAAGAGCCAACAAACTGCAGCGTCCCAAAACTCAATGGCCTAAATACCCGAATATATTTTTATTGTAATAAAATTTAAAATTTGAAAATGAGTCTGGAGTAGAATCCATTTATGGGGTGAGATGGGGTGACTAAAGTCCCGGAGCAGAAGGGAAACCAAAGCAAGCATGTTGAAGGGAGCCGGCAACAAAATGCCAAAACCGGCTCAAGGTAGGGAGGGCCACGCGGCTACATGACACCAAAGTAGCCACAACTCCACCCAAATTCCACAGGCGTCCCTCAGCCGACAATATGAGTAGGTGTGTTTGATAAAAAAATATAAATTCATTGTTGGTCTGCCGCACCCCTGTCGCGGTCGAATCTGACCCTGAGCCGATGGCTAGCCGGCGTAACGACAGGGGATGCACTGGCAAAGGCGGACATAACAAGATGGCGCCCAATATAAATACACCTGGGTCTACATTTTAGCAAATGTTGCCCCAGTTCGAAGCGAAGTTAAAAGCCAGAGTCTTGTTGTTTGTTTTTTGTGTTGATTTGTATTCTTTATTTAGGTTTACATGTAAATTTCAACAGCAATAGCTGCTGGCGGCCCCTGAGCCGGCGGGAAACGGTGCAACTGCCAGGTCCGTGGGTGAGCTTCACTAGGGCTCAGCCCATCGTTGCCGCAGTTGCATCTTTCTTACAGCGCGGTGTAGGTTGGTAACCAGCAGAATAGGCGCAGCGAAGGAGCGAGTGTAGCAGGTCCGTGAGGAGTCTTGGTGCCCACTCATTGTTGCCCTACAGGGTGCTCTGAGGCTGGAAAGATAGAGAGTAATGTCTGTCAGGTGTTAAGTAAAGAATAGTATAGTTGCCTTATGTTTTTTTTGTGTTAGTTACCGTTTTTTTTTGTGGTTGTTTGGTAGTTCTTATGAATGGTTGCGTAGTAGGTCCATGTCCTGTCCCAAGCGGAAGGAGCATCGTTGCCCTACGTATCAGAGCATAGGAGCAGCAATTCGCCATAGCCCGAGCAAGATTTGAGTTTTTAGTAGGCGCCTGGAAGAAATTGGGTGGTGTAAAGCGTGCGATACATATGTGTTTGTTTTGGTTGTTTACCTTCTACAGTGACTGCGTGCCGTGGTGCAGCGTCATACTGAGGATCCTCATCTCACCCTTACATGTCTAGTGTTGAGCCTGTGAGAGTAAAGAAAGATTGTTTTGATTTATGCTATTGTCAGTTAGTGTATTAATTACCTTTTATTTATTTATTTGCGTAGCAGCAAATAAATTATCAATAGACGGGGAGTCCATTGTGAATGGTCCCGGTCAAGCACAGCTGTTCCTGGGCTGAACCATCGATATTAATAAGTATCGACAGGGTATTTTGGCACAGATTAGCAGGTCTGTGCATAGGGCGGGAATTTGAAGTTCAACTTATCGTTAGTTTGTTTTTTTTTGGAGTAATTTTTTTCACTTAGTATTTTTTTTGTTAAGTCTTTTGGTATACATTTATTTATTCTCATTTATTTATTCTCATTTATTTATTCTTATTTATTTATTCTTATTTATTTATTCTTATTTATTTATTCTTATTTATTTATTCTTTTTTTTGGTTGTGTGTTTGATGGTATTCCTATATATATATACATAAGCATTTGATTGGATTAAATAATCCAACGGGTACTTAGCTAAGGATATTATCCCCGCTTATCATTTAAGAAAACACATACATACGAGTGGACCGATCTATTTATTTATTCGGAGTTTGCTCGTTTATAATATAGATATAGTTTTTTTTGATATTATAATCGGCGGGTACGGATCCGAGTACTAGCAGTGGTTTTTTTTTGGTTTGGATTAACAAGGTACTGAGAAATGAATCTTGACCCGAATGTTACCCGGAAGGTCAGGCGGAGTCAGGAGTTTATTAGAAATAGGCCATTGGTTCACTTGGACTCTCCTCCTCACGTAGGATTGAGTGAGGCGGGCAAGCCAGCAGAAGCACTCCATGATGACGCATCGCCGCCGAGTGTAAACGAGGCAGCGTTCCGAGGATTCGGGGATGAATTTCCGAACAGTTCCGGAGCAACAACCGGCGCACGCGCGCGTGACTATGGCGGTGAAGAGCAGGGTGGCAGAGCCGAGTCTGCGCTGCCAAGCGAAATTCGGTCAGCGATCAACGTGGCATTAGCACAGGCCCACGAGACGTATCGCGCATCGTTGTCGTCAGAAGTAGAGGCCATTCGAGAGACGATGCAGGCCAGCATGCTGTCGTTCATGCGCGAGATTAATGAGGCAGTGGCAGCGCTGAGGCAGGAGAGAACGCATAGCGCGCCTCCGTCTGTAGCACAGGCGCCGGTGGGCAGGCCAGAGCGAGCTCACGCGCAAATGCAGCGGCCAGCCTTAGGCGGGTACGAGCCGGCAGAGAAAGAAAGAGATTTTGTAAGTAGTAGACCAGCAGCTGCAGCACCGACTCACCTGTTCGTCGACAACCGAACTTTAGAGGCAGAACAGCGGGCACATGTGGAGCAGCGGCAGTTCTCAGCCGATCCGTGGATGCGCGATTTGGGCCCTGACGTGCACAGGCCATTAAGGCGAACCACGATGGGAGACTCCCGGCCCGACGTCGTCCACATCAGAAAGTGGGGCCTTGTATTTGATGGCGAAACCAAAGGAATGCCGGTGGCAGAGTTTATATTTCGATTGGAGCATTTGCAGTCCTTGTATCAGGTGCCCTGGGCCGACGTGTTGCGAGACTTCCACTGCCTGGTGAACGGGAGAGCGAAAGATTGGTATTGGATGTACATACGTACCTCGGGCGTGCCGGACTGGCCGAATCTCCGATATGGGCTGCAGCAGCAATTTCAGACTCGAAGATCGGAGTTTGAACGAGAGCAGGAGCTGAGGGAGCGGAAGCAGCGGCATGGCGAGAGCATAGAAGAGTATATTCAGGCGATGCTGGTGTTGCGTTCTCGGTTGGTGTGTCCATTTTCGGATTATGACCTTATTAAGGTGATAAAGACAAATATTAAAGACACCGTGTCTAGGGTCATCTATCCGATGAATATAACTAATCTGCAGAAGCTGAGAGAGGAGTGCCAAGACGCCGAAAAGATGCTGGCAACGCGTTGGGCGCGGCCCTCAGCCAGTACCAACTACGGGCAGCAGCGAGAGCAGCATCGAGTACACGAGCTGGACGTGGTAGCAGAAGGTACACAAGGCGGCCAACTGGAGCATTTGGAGGCGGTATATAGGCCACATGAAACTGGTGGGAGCCGCTCGAATCTCAAGTGTTGGAATTGTGCACAACCAGGGCATACATATTTCGATTGCGAGTCGGCGGTGCGCAATATGTTTTGTTTCAAATGCGGACAGCCAGGCGTGGTGCTGCCAAGATGCCCGAAATGCCGTCCGGGAAACTCGGAGAGGAGTCCGACGCAGCCGGAGGAGTCGCACTCTCGGTAGACGGTGAAACGCGTACCTCCGATGATACAGTAGTTAGGATAGGAATTAGTAGCGATAAGGATAGTACCGTTAGTCATATTTACTCACAGATATATAAAGTCAACCAGGCAGTCCCACCGAAGAAAGTATGGTCGCAGCGGAAACCCTTGGAGCAGCGTCAGCGCGACTATGAAGTAGCCAGGAACCGCATATTTGGTAGCCAGCACGAACCGGATGCGAGAGGGGCGTCGAAGACATCCTTGCGGGCGCGTAGGAGACACCGCGAACGCCGACAGAAACGCCAGGCGGTGTGTGCCGCGGTGAATTCTGCATGTCGTTCCGACAGCCGCCCATATGCTACGGTAGCGATTGAAGGCAGAGAATTTACCGGTCTGTTGGATACCGGGGCGTCGGTGAGCTTGCTGGGAAGTGGTGCCA